AAAATAAATTACCCAAAAAATCCATTACACTGGCTGTAGAAGCTGTCAAATCATCTTTAAGGTCTTTGAGGCAATCCCACAATACTGACACAATTTCCGGTATTTTCTTCGCAGAAAGTTCGACAAAGTAGTCAGCGATAGGTATCAAGATAGATGCTGCGACTGCTCGAACATCATCATCACTATCTTTTAATCTTTAATAAATTAGAAATTTGTTAGTTTTTTTAACAAAAATGAAATTACACTATATCTGTAAGACCTACCCAACTATTACTGCATCGACTATACCATCTAAAATGTCATTCACAAGATCCTTGCGTACTGCGACGGCATACTTTAGACCCAACATTCCGGCGTGTCTAACCTCCCATATCGATGGTTTTCCATCACATGTATCTGATTGATAGATCATTTGCAATAAAACCCCATGGACATTCTCTACACCTCGAGGAGACATGTATCGAAGAAGGGCACCCATTGTCTGCGAACAAGTTTCACGTACAGGTGCTACGACCTTTAACAAAATAAAAGTTATTTAACACATGCACACAAAAAAAAAATGCCATGAATTTAGAGTACCTGATCTGAAACATAATCGCCAAAACGGTCAAGCGCAAACACACAAAGTAAACGAATAGCAACATCTTCCAACCATTTATTATTCCTAATTTCATTTTCCTCTTTCGTCAATCCAACTAAATAAAGATGTTATTTTTTTTTATTCTAAAAAAAAAAAATCAGCCATGAGCATAATGTAATTACCTCGACGTCCGGCCCCATACCCGTGAACTTTGAGAATTTCCCGTAAGCCAATACATGCACCGTGTCGAACTTCCCAGCAAGGACTTCGAAAGTGTTAAATTTCATTAAATGCTACTACAAATCACTCTACGAATATTGCATGAACTTACTGAAATAACGCTACACAAAGCGATTCACAAACACTGTTGAATGGCCACTCATTGTTTCGATCTTCTAGCAAGCTAGATCCATCTTTTTTAGACTCGACCACAATTTTGCTTGAACACGGTTGTGGTGTAATATCAAATTGTCCATCTAGCTTTCCTATATATGAACAACCAAAATAACCTTATTATTTATATGTCATGTACTTTAAAAAGTCAATATTGTGCTAACCTTCTCCTTCAAGTTTAACTGATGGTGATATTGGTGTTGCAACTGCAGTTGAGAATTCTCCACCACTTTTCCTAGCATTAACTTCCACAACTCGTAACCTAAGACACAGAATTGTATCAT